TAGAAGTATGTTAAAAAAGGAATGCAATTTATATTAATGGTAACAACTTAAGTGACCAACTTAAATCACCCACAGTTTACAGTTCAGCAATCAAAAGAGATTTAGTATACAGTCATACTTTGTTTTATTATGCTTCACTTCATTGCAATTCACAAATATTGCATTTTTACGAATTGAAGATTTGTGGCAACCCTGTGCCAAGAAAATCTACCAGTTCTGTTTTTCCAACAGCATGTGTTCACTTCATGTTTCTGTGTGACATTTTGGTAATTCTCACAATATTTCAAACTTTTTCAGTATTATTATATCTGTTATGGTGATCTGTGATCAGTGATCTTTGATGTTACTATTGTAATTGTTTAGGGTGCCATGAACTGTGCCCATGTAAGACAACAAACAATCATTAAATGTTGTGTGTGTTCTGGCTGCTCCACTCTGTGGCTTTCCCCATATTTCTCTCTCTCCTCAGGCCTCCCTATTCCCTGAAACACACCAGTTTTGAAATTAGGCCGATTAATAACTCTACAATGGCCCCTAAGTGTTCAAGGAAAAGGAAGAGTTGCATGTCTCTCATTTTAAATCAAAAGCTAAAAATGATTAAGCTTAGCAAGAAAGGCATGTTAAAAGCTGAAAGAGGCCAAAAGCTGGCCATTTGTGCCAAACAGTTAGCCGATTGTAAATTCAAAGGAAAAGTTCTTGATGGAAATTAAAAGTACTACTCCAGTGAACACACAAATGATAAGAAAGCAAAACAGCCTTATTGCTGGTATGGAGAAAGTTTGAGTGGTTTGAATACATCAAACCAGCCACAACGTTCCCTTAAACTACACCCTAATCCAGAACAAGAGCCTAATTCTCTTCAATTCTGAGAAAGAAGTCTGAAGTCTGAAGTCTGAGAAAGGTGAGAAAGCTACAGAAGAAAAGTTTAAAGCTAAAAGAGGTCAGTTTCTGAGGCTTAAGAAAAGAAGCCATCTCCATAGCATAAAAGATAAAGCAGCAAATGCGGTTGTAGAAACTGCAGCAAGTTATCCAGAACATCTAAGATCACTGATCAAGGTGGCTATACTAAACTACAGATTTTCAATATAAATAAAGCAGCCTTCTATTAGAAGAAGATGCCATGTAGGACTTTCATAGCTAGAGAAGAGAAGTCAATGCCTAGCTTCGAAGCTTCATAGACAGGCTGACTCTTTTGTTAGGGGCTAATGCAGCTGGTAACTTTAAGTTGAAGCCAATGCTCACTTACCATCCTGAAAATCCTAGGATCCTTAGGAATTCTGCTAAATCTACTGTGCCTGGGCTCTAGAAATAGAACAATAAAGCCTGGATGATATCCCATCTGGTTACAGCATGATTTGCTAAATATTTCAACCCACTATTGAGATCTACTGCTCAGATCAAAAAAAAAAAAATCTTTCAAAATACAGCTGCTCATTGACAATGCATGCAGTCACCTAAGAGCTATGATGGAGATGTACAAGGAGATTAATGTTTTTGTGTGCCTGCTAATACAACATCCATTCTTCAGCCTGTGGGTCAAGGAATAATTTCAATTTTCAAGTCTTATTATTTAAGATATACATCTCATAAGGCTCTAGCTGCCACAAATAGTGATTTCTCTGATGGATCTGGGCAAAGCCAATTGAAAACTTTCTGGAAAGGCTTCATCATTCTAGATGCCACTAGGAACATGTGTAATTCATTGGAGGAGGTCAAAATGCCAGCATTAACAGGAGTGTGGAAGAACTTGATTCCAACCTTCATGGATGACTTTGAGGAGTGCAAGACTTCAGTGGAGGAACTATAGATGTGGTGGAAACAGCAAAACACTGGACTAGAAGTGGAGCCTTAAGATGCGACTGAATTGGTGCAATCTTGCGATAAAATTTTACCAGGACAGGAGTTGTTTCTTATGGATGAGCAAAGAAAATGATTTCTTCAGATGGAATGTGCTCCTGGTGAAGATGCTATAAACATTATTGAAATGACCATAAAGGATTTAGAATATTACATAACTTAGTTGATAAAGTAGTGGCAAGGTTTAAGAGGATTGATTCCCATTGGAAAGAAGTTCTATGGGTAAAATGTTATCTATGGATAAAACAGCATGGCATGCCACAAAGAAATCTTTCATGAAGGGAAGAATCAATTGATGTGGCCTCATTCACTTGTTGTTTTATAAGAAATTGCCACAACCACCCCAACCTTCAGCAACCACCACCCTTTCAGTCAGCAGCCGTCAGCATCAAGGCAAGATCCTCCGCCAGCAAAAAGATTCTCTGATGAAGGCTCAGATGATCATTAGCATGGTTAACAATAAAGGATTTTTTATTAATGTATGTACTTTTTTAGACCTAATGCTATTGCACACTTAGACTACAGTAGAGTGTAAAAACAACTTTTATATGCACTGGAAAATAAAAAAAAATTGTATGACTCAACTTTATTGTGATATTCTCTTTATTGTGGTGGTCTGAAACAAAGCCTGCAATGAATGTCTCCAAGGTATGCCTATAACATAACATAATAAAGGCAATTGTGAAATATATGGGCCTAAACTTCTGCTTCCTTTAAGAAACATGACAAAGAGTATAATGTACATACAAAAACAATTTTTAAATAATCAGGAAAGAGTATAGCCATTGGAGGACAACATCTAAAGGGACATCATCTTCCTTGCCACTGACTTGATAGAGATGGAGAAGAATGGTGGAGGAAGGTGGCTGTTTCCCTCCTAAAATCCTCCTCCTGGTCCAGTGAGGCACGGAAAGTTCTAGGTGATAATTCAGAGTGGGATAGCAGGAACATGACTGCTCTCTCCACCCACATCTTAACAGAAAAAAGTTACAGAGATTCACTTGAATTTTAGGCTGAGACTTGATTTTCCTGTTTCATAAAGAATTAAAAGTCAAGACTGGGCACAATGGCTCACATCTATAGTCCTATCTAAAGCAGGAGGATCACTCCAGCCCAGGAGTTCGAGGTTACAGCGAGCTACGATCACACCACTGTACTCCAGCCTGGGTGACAGAGTGAGAGTCTGTCTCAAAAAAAAAAAAAAAACCAGAATCAAGAGTCAGAAAGTTGCCTAAGATCCATATCCCAATCAGTATGTACTCAATAGAAATTCTAAATTAATTTATAATTATTATCAATTGCAAAAGGAACTTCCAAATATCCATTCTAATGAGAGAAGAAGAACAAAAATACAACAGAACAAAGGAGAATAATAGCTTTTGAGAGGAAGATATTATAACTGAAAGATTTGACATTTATTTTAGCAGAAATTATTCTCTAATATCATATTCCAAGGTCAGACTTGTATGAAGGATAAAAATCAGAGAAGTATTTGGGTTCACAGAACATCTCTTCTATTCTGAACAAAAAAAAACAAAGGTACTTCGTATTATTAATAGAAGAATAGTTTTTCTCATTTCTATTTCATTCACTCCCTACCAAAATGTCACTGACTTTTCTAGTGGACCTCATTCACTTGTCATTATTCTTCTTTTCATTTCCTAACTACAAAAATAAAATATACATGCAGGAACCTTGGGCTGAACTTACATCAAACCCTACTGGAACTTTGTAATAATACAAAATACATTGTGAAATATAGACTTCAAAGTATGGGCAGTTCTAGGAAGGTTGAGTTTCCAATTTTTTTCTTTCCTAGAACCAGCCCTTAATCACCCACTTCTTCTTTTCTTTTATTTATACAGACTTTCAACACTTTTTGCTACATTTAACACTTAGAAATTGAGCCAGAAGACAACTCAAGATACTTCGTGGATCTAGGCCTCACCTTCATAAAAGCGAATATCTGTCATCAAAAGCCATTGACTCAATATTCACTTCTCAAAGAGATTCAGGGACAAGGAAACTATGACTTTTATTACTACCAATCGGGAGAGACACTTGTCTAAGTAGGCACACATCATTTCTCCTTCTTATACTTTTCTAACACAATATTTACTGAAATTCTCTAAAATATCCATCATATGGCCCTTTCTGGTGGCAGGTAGTCGAACCTGTGTTCGGCAACATGCTCACAGTTAAATACAAAAACTGTTAATAAGACAATGTACTTTGCAATCTAAACCCTATAGACCAAACTAGAGACAGCAAATAATATCTCAGGAATAAGAGGAATTGACATGTCAAAATTTTACTGCTGAAATTTCAGAAGTCTATAACAGTTTTCCTTAATGACAAACTTTTAAGAAATACATTCAATTGATAGAATAGCCTCGGAATTATATTAAAGAGCACAAAGATGGTATCAAAATTGGATTTTTCAAGAATTTACTTTGAAATTTTAAGTTTTATAAATCCCTTTTAAAATTGTTTTTGTTTCCTACTATTTAGATATTATTTCCTAATAATTTTCTTCATATAATACTCTTTTAAAAATAAGCAGATGTTAAAAAATTTATATAGAAATGCAAAGAAACTAAAATAGTAAAACAATATTTTAAAAGAATAGCCAAGGCCAGGCTCAGTGGCTCACATCTGTAATCCTAGCACTCTGGGAGTCCAAGGCAGGAGGATTGCATGAGCTCCGGAGTTGGAGACCAGTCTGAGCAAAAGTAAGATCTTGTCTCTACTAAAAATAGAAAAATTAGCCAGGCATGGTGTAGTTCCAGCTACTGGGGAGGCTGAGGCATGAGAATGGCTTGAGCCCAGGAGTTTGAGGTTGCTGTGAGCTAGGGTGGTGCCACAGCACTCTAGCCCAGGCAACAAAGTGAGACTGTCTACAAAATATAAATAAATAAATAAAAGAATAGCAAAGTTGGAGGACTTACACTTCCTAAATTAAAGGCTTGCTATAAAGCTATGGTCATTAAGACATTTGGGTATTGGTGTCTAAACAGACAATTACATCAATAGAACTGAATAGACTGCAAAAATAGACCCACACATCTGATTGCATTAGTTAGCTCGAGCTACCATAACAAGATACCACAGGCTGAGTGACTTAAACAAAGGACATTTCTCACAGTTTGGAAGGCTGGAAGTCCAAGCTCAAGACGCCAGCTGTGTTGGTTTCTGATGGTCTTTCTTCCTGGCCTGCAGACAGCCACCTTCTCACTATGTCTTCACATGACCTTTTCCCCAGTGCTCAAGTGGAGAGAGAATTCTCTGGTGTCTCTTCTTCTTCCTTTGAGGAAACTAGTCCTACTAGCTAAGCCCCGACCATATGACCTCTTTTAGCATGAAATACCTCCTTAAACACCCTATCTCCAAATATAGCCATGTTGGGATTTGCATATGAATTTTGAAGAAAGACAATTCTGCCCATAACAATGACCAATATTTTTTACAAAGTTTTAAAGGAGGTCAGTGGAGAAAGGATGGTCTTCTCAACTAATAGTGCTGGATCAATTGAATAGCCATAGCCAAAGCATGGAAAAAGGAACTTCAATCCATCTATTGCACCATATACAAAAAAAAATAAAATAAAATGCTTATAGACCCACATGGAATACCTAAAACTATAGAACTTACAAAAGCACTGTTAATAAAATGAAAAAACAACCAAAAAAAACCAGAAAGAATATATCTGAAAATAACATACCTGACAAAAGAGTTGTATCTAGAATATATAAAGAACTCTCAAAACACAAAAGAAAGAAAACAAACAACACGATTTTTTTAAACAGGCAGAAGATTGGAATAAACACTTTATCAAAGAAGATATATGAATGTCAAGTAAGCACATGGAAAGATGCTTAATAACATTGGTCATTAGGAAAAGGAAAACCAGGACCACAATGAAAAACCACTGCACACCTATCAGAATGGCTAAAATTTAAAAACTGACTATACCAAGTGTTGGTGGGTGTGGGAAATAACTCTGCTACTTAGTTTATCCAGCATCTGGTACAGTGTCTGGCAGCCCCCAATAAACTGTTCTTAAATTGAAATGGTAAGGTAAAAGGAGAAAGTCACAACAAAGTAGGAATTGTCATCAATGTTAAATGCTACATGGATGGAAGGCAGAATGAAGAACAAAAGTTCCAATTTGTCAGTTTTTTCTCCGGTGGATCACATTTTTGGTGTCTTATTTATGAAATATTGCTTAGCCCAATGTCACATAGGCACATAATCCAAGCCTGAACAATAAAAGTCAAGTCTAGACTCTTTGGTAAGCTAAGCACTCTCTTTTCACTGAGGTTGATAAATTGGTAGAATGTAAGTTTAGATCTAATATCATCTTTGTTACTGAGTAGAGAGTTCTTGCTCGAAAATAAAAACACACAAAAAGCATCCTTAGAAAAGAGAGAGAGAGGGAAGTTCCTGACCTGCCTGAAACCGGCATAAATCCTGCACTTTTCAGTTGTATGACCTAACACATTCTCTTTGCTTAAGGCAGTTTGAGTTCATTTCCCTCATTAATAACCAAACAGTCCTGACTAATAAAGTGACCTTTTCTGGAGCAATTTCATATAAGGAAAATGGAATTCCTAACATTTATCCATAGATTGCTCTAAGGCATGAGTGATAATATACATAACCTGCTTAGCATGGTGCCCAGCAAATATTAATGATTCAATGAATGCAAGTGTAATGGTATTAGTAACCAGACTACAGTGGGTTGAAGAGAAAAGGGAAGAGGAAGATAGGAACAAGTGTGGTTAATTTTTTAAGTATTTTTGTCAGAAAGAGAGAGAGAGAAGGGAGGTAGGGCTAGCAGAAAATTTTCAGATAAGAAAGTTTTAAGTGGAACTTTTCTTATGGTGTTCTATTGTGTTTGTTGATAAAAATTTGGTTTATTGTGTTCAGTCAATATCATACCAAATTTAATTTTGGTTGTTTTCCTAACACCCTCAGATTCTTAATTATTATTGCTCTGAGGTTTTCTGATCTTATAAAATTTTATTACTTTAAGAGAATATATGAGAAAAGTACAACAGAATGTTTATGAATTAGACCTTTGGATTGAAGAAACTTTAATGAAACTTTCTTTCTTTATAATTAGTAAAATCTCTTCTAAGATGTTGCTGTTATTGATCCATTTTTCTCTGGTACCTCTTAAGATAAAATTATATTAAGCTGCCGGGCGCGGTGGCTCACGCCTGTAATCCTAGCTCTCTGGGAGGCCGAGGCGGGCGGATTGCTCGAGGTCGGGAGTTCAAAACCAGCCTGAGCAAGAGCGAGACCCCGTCTCTACTATAAATAGAAAGAAACTAATTGGCCAACTAATATATATAGAAAAAATTAGCCGGGCATGGTGGCGCATGCCTGTAGTCCCAGCTACTTGGGAGGCTGAGACAGAAGGATCGCTTGAGCCCAGGAGTCTGAGGTTGCTGTGAGCTAGGCTGACGCCACGGCACTCACTCTAGCCTAGGCAAAAAAAAAAAAAAAAAAAAAAAAAAAAAAAAAAAAATTATATTAAGCTATTTTGTGTCATTTTTTGACAACCAAAGTGATCATATTATAATAGAATAATATCAAATTATCATTCTATTTTAATGAGCCCAAAACCCGATATTAGGGTTTAGATTAATAAACACTAGATAGGATGGTAAACATGCTTCTAAGTTATAAGGATGCATCATCCTGAAACTTATTTCTTTTCTATAAATTGTTAATTGTCTATGGATCACAAGTTATTTTGTTATTCCTCCTAAAGTTGCATTATTTGAATTTTAATAATAAACTCTCATATATGCAATGTCTCAATTCAAAACACTAACTCAAAGTGAAGTATCCCAAGATTGGAAAAACAAGCACCAGATATATTCTCCAGCAAACTGGTATTAACTGAGTAGCACCTAAGTGGACACATAGGTGCTACAGTAATAGGGTATTGGGCAGGTGGGAGGGGGGAGGGGGGCGGGTATATACATACATAGTGAGTGAGATGTGCACCATCTGGGGGATGGTCATGATGGAGACTCAGACTTTTGGGGGGAGGGGGGAAATGGGCATTTATTGAAACCTTAAAATCTGTACCCCCATAATATGCCAAAATAAAAAAAATAATTAAAAAAAAAAAAAAACCACTAACTCACACAGGATATAACTTGTGACACTATACTAGAAACTAAAAAAAAAAATGTTGATTTGAAACAAACTAATGTCATGTGCTGTTTCAATTACTAATAAAAAGTATCTTATCCTAGCACTATAATTTTAAGTGGGTGTTGTTATGGAAAATACGAAGTATCAAGGTATGAACCAATTAAGCAGGTCCACAATAACTAAATTTTCATTTTCATAACACCAATAATTATAACAATATAACTGAAAAATATTGCCATCTCCTTTTTAGCACAGTAACAGATAATTGATTCTACTTTCTACAAAGCCCTAGTAAAATTCCCTAGATCATATGAAAATGACTAACATTTCTATCTTTCATTGCCTACGCAATCCTTTCACATAAATATCTCCTTTGATTTCACTTAACTGTGTGAAGTAAATACAACCTTTCAAAGGTGTAAGAAAGCTAAAGTTCAGAGACATTTATTGACACCTAAAGTGCAGAGTTACTAAGAAATGAAACTAGAATTCAAACTCATCATCCAACACAAAATTTCATCATTTCTAGTATACCACACACATTTATATATTATTATATATATTATTTCTCCTAGCAAAAAAATTGAGTAAAATTCCCTTTTATAAATTTTTACAATAGTAAAAATGAAAACACCATAAATTCTTCACATCAGATCAAGCTTCATATTGATCTTCTGCCTCTCACCATGAAGGCTGTCCTTTCAGAGACTTCTTTTAAATTTTGATTCTTTATAAGAAAACCAATAACTTCCAAGGGCATTCGTTTGACCCCATGGCTGCAGGCATCTTCTAGAGCATATCGACAGAACATGTCCCTCTTTGACCTCAAGTGCCTGGGAACATGGGCTGTGACTGCTTTCCTCCTGCTAAGCACCTGAGACCACTGGTGCCAACCTTTGCTGCACCCAGCAGGTCTCCCTGTTCGGATCACTCTTTAAATGAACAGAACCAGATGGCGGCCAGTGAATTTACCGGACAACAGGAGCTTCCTTCTCTTTGAAATCTGACCCAGTTTTTCATAAAAGAAATACTCTCTCTTCTTTTCTGTACTTTTGTAGAAATAAATATTCTCTGCCAACTCCGCATACACTGCCCTGGGATATTCCTGGGTATTCAGTAGGCACATAAAGATCTTAGATAATTGTAGTAGTCACTATGCAGATTGAGTTAATAAAAGAAAATCTTTCCCCAAGGAATGTAAAATCTAAGACATAGCATTGGTTAAAATATACATATATAAGAAGTTCAGTAAACAAGATGCTTTACAAATGCACACGGGACATTAATTTTAAAACATTCATATTATTTTCAAGTAAAGGTTTGATTTTTCTACTGTGAGATTGTAAATGACTTATTCCATTTATAGTTGTGTATACCTAGGGAAATAAATGATATTGGTAGTAGGTTTAAGGTAAGCTACATGTTACACATAGGCATTCAAGAAAAAAAGGAAAGTGGAAAGATAACCAGGGCACTGAAGGACATTGTAGCCTTTGAATGAGGCTGAGGGAAAAGCTCAGAGATGCAGATAGGATTGGTGCTTGCTCATCATTAACGTATTCTAGGTTAAACTCTACAAACTTAACATTTTTGTAGGTCAAAAATGGTCAAATATTGGCAATTTCATATACTTTTTCTAAGAAAATACACTCATCAATTACTCAACAAGTAGAGTCGAACACATTCCAATGAACAGAGAATATTGTTGAAGGGATCCATCAGTTTGATAAGACATATAAAAATGGTTATCCCAAACCTAAAGAGAGTTGAGCAGTAAGTTCCTGACAAGACAATGTTTCTAAACATAAATATTGAAAAATAATAAAAGTCTTCTGCTGTCAATCCTTTTGAAAATTAGATGGTTTTCTGAAAGCAAAATGTCACTGCCTAGATCATTAGAGCTGATACATTTCTTACTTAAAAATTAGACATATAACAATATGAGGTGGTAAGTAATGTTTAGGTTCAGAAAGAAATAGTATTTTTATTTTACTTTTTTAAATTTTAAAATATTAAGGGGGTACAAATATTTCTGTTACATGGTTAGCTTTTGTAATGCTTGAATTGGTCTACGGCCACACCACCCTGAACGTGCCCGATCTCGTCTGTAATGC